GTGGGTAACTGGTGAGGATAGCAACAATGGCGACCGCTACAGATCCTACAGACCACATTAACAATGCTATCGAGGTATTTTGCCACTACTCGCGTTAATGGAGGACCAAATTAAGGAAGCTGCTAAACTGGATTTAACGGCGATGCAGCTGGGCGTGCACGACGACGGAGACATTTTAATCGGGCAATGCTCGCTTGTTTTCGGCACCCCCGAGGCATGGATACTAATGACGTCAGATTCTGGGTGAGTCGTTGATCTCTACTGATTGGTTAGGAAAAAAATTCCCTCCCCCTTGTAAATCGCCTTCAATGGAAGCCATGTCAGACTGAAGGTTCTGGGAGCTTCAGTCTGACACTCAGGCTAGTGGAAAAGTACCTGGGCTGTGACTGTGAAGTCCACAAGAACACAAGTTCTTGAAACGGCTATACTCTTTCAGTTAACCCAGTAAATTTAAACACTCACGCCGCCTATCACCTATCCACACATCTCCCACTCCTGCTGGTCCACCACACCCACCTCATCAAGCCAACTGCTCACACCTGTGCCTCATTACTCCCTGCCACTATATATACTCCAGCTTCACAGCCTCTTGTTGCCAGATTGTTATTTGTCATACCCATGCAAGGCTTTCTTGCTTTTATGCAACAATATTATTATTATTGTTGCCGACCTCACCTGCCTCTGAATCTCATGCTTCGCCTGCTCCCCTTTAAACCACTCAGCCTTCGGTCCCCGACCAAGAGCTCTGTCTCTATGTTCCTGGTTTCTGTTTGCCTGTTGGCTGTGTGAAGAACTGCCAGTCAGCTCTCTGTTGTGAGTTTACCTGCTCTACTGCCCCTGATTCCCTGTGCTGTGGATTACCTCACCACGTGGCTGCGTATTCTGCCTCACTGCTGGTTCCTCGACTCCTTCCCTGTTTCGGTTTACCTACAGCAAGCTTCTCACTTGGCTTCCCTTGTGTGTTCACCTGGCATCGGACCGTCTGCGTCTTGGAGGGTTCCAAGCCAACAAATTGACTCCCACTGTTTTTTCACCTGCCTGCTCTCTCTGTGTTTGACAAGTGGTTTCATTTAAGACTATTTTAAACTGTCTTTGGTACTACTATTGAGTTCGGACCACACCCATGACACCTTGTAAGCCAAGACTTAGTTGACAAAAACCTCGCTGAACACAGGACCTGCTGATCTACTGCATCCTTGATCCATTAGTTTGTGTTGTTGTGTGACTTTGGCATTTAAAAGGGTAAGTTCAAATTCAGTTCAGTTCCCAGTTGGAAAGGGCTGTCTGGGAAGTACAGTGCACTTGGCAAATAGTTTTGCTGTTTGAAAAGACAAACCCTTCTGACTTAAATTCATTAACTTTTCTTTTATTTGGATTCTTTGTACATCAGCACAGGCATGCAAAAAATGCTAGATTTTTAATATTTGTAAATTACATGCCATCTCTGCTTTATGTATCTTATTTCTTTGTGTTTACAAGTAAAGGATGGATGAAAACTCTAAAATATCTGATGTTCTGAAAAACATGTCTAATGGGAAGGCCAGGGACATTGTGAATTAAGAGCAATTTATCATCTACATACAGAGAAATCTAGTGTGTGGTGTTACAGGGTCATGGCTAAATTATTGTTGAATGTAAGTGTTGTTGAGAGCTACATGAGAGATATTTTGAGCTGACGTTCTTTGTCAACATCATAGCAGCGGGGCAAAGTTATCAATGCTACCCATGCAGCATATGAGTAACATTGCCCCTCAAAGAAATTAAAAGGTTTGTTTGCATCAAGAGACAGAATGATTTCTATCTAGGCAAGAGCCTACCTGAAGTAGGGGAACAGCTCAATGGATGAGGAAGTCTGGTCTTAATTATTTTATTTTTTTTTAATTTATTTTCTTTTGCAGATTTTCTGTCCAACATAAAACATCAGGCTACTGTGTAGAATAAAATATGCATCCTGCAATTCCAAAGTATTCACCATAAGCCTCCACTAATGGCAACATGACACAACAGCATTCAGTATATATATATATTTTTTATTTAGATAAATGTATAAAGCATAATGCACTCCTGTTACAAAAAAACATGCAATACATTTCTGTTGCTTAAAATACAAAAACTAATAGAAAATATATTGATATAGAAAATGTGCCAGAAAAAGGAAAATAGGCTTTCTAGCTTCAATTTGGCTTATATTAGATATTTTATCTTAAATAAATGTGCAGTACAACAAAAAATTCTATGCAAGTAAGGACAAAAGAATTAGCCATTGAGAAACATAAATTCGATGCATTACAGCTTAATCCTTTGATGATTTGGGTTTTGGTTCTTTGTAGCATATTTTTACACCTGGTATTGCTGCTTATCAATTACTAGCTTTATAGATAATGACATGATAAATCCTGCCATTTCAATGTAAACATACAACTGTATGTGTGAAGGACGTGTGCAAATGGCTGCCATTTGTCATGTAATTGGCACAAAAATAACAATAATTAAGTCGTAATGACAAAGATTAGCATAATATTTCAAAACCTAAATCACAAAGCTGATAGCTGTTTAGCTTATGTTAACAGTCAAGATACATATTAGCATTCTTACATGAGACCAGCTACCGGACAGCAAAGAAGAAAGTAGTGATACAAAGTTACACATTACTGTAATCACATTACATTTGTCTGTAATGCAGTAACGTGACGTGTTACTGTTAATACATTCCGTAATTACATTACAGTTACTAATAAAATAATCACATCGGTCAAGGGCGTGTAGGTAGGTATGTTTAAACATTGAGGGGTGACGTGGGGGCACACAGGAAACTGGGGCTTTGGGGTCAAAGAATCTCGAAGAAAATTGTGGCACGTCTCTGTCTCTGCTACATTCATGTTTTCGGGCAAATATACATGTTCTCACTTTTGAGGGGGATGTGTTCCCTGCATCAAAGCAGTCTTCTGCAGTCTTGTATTGACTCCGTGGAAGAGTCAGCTGTCTTAAACAATTTGAGTTACTTCTTCTCATACACTGCTTTTGGTAATTGAGATGTCAAATAAACTGGATTAGTCTACTATAAAGCCGTGGTTTGGTGAGTCAGTGACTCCAGCAAGTGTGGTTTCCCCATCAAATGGACCTCATGTGCCATTTAAAAATGTTTCTTTCCTCTAATAGAGCTAGGAAGTCTCTTTAATTTTTTTTTTTTTTTTGAGGCCAATGGATATATTATTTAAGGCAATTACCATTTGTAGTATGTAGTGTTATAAAGGCCAACCTCTTTTAGATTGTTTTATAAATTGATGTAGTTTCATTCAGTTTCAGGGAGTTATTAAGTAAAGGAGTGCATTACTTTAAGAGAGTAATGATTAAAGTACAACTTATTTAACAACCCCATCACTAACAGTTAGCTACTTTTCCTGCAGAGCTTTTACTTAAAATGTAAATCTTGAATCATTACAGTATATTTCACAGTGTATAGATGAATGTCACTGAGCACCATGTTGAGCAGTGTTACAGTAATGATTACTATCTTTAGTGGTGATTACAGGTTGAAACCCAGCAAAGCATTGTAGTTAATCCTTATAATGCTCCACTAATAGGACATTTTGACGTCTGTCAGTCAACAGAAGGTGTCAGATGTGTTAACTTATAGAAGAGGCTAGGGGTGGGACATAAGGGCTCACCAACCACCATAGGAGAGGGAATATGCCTTGATTGAAATACACACAATGCACAGAGGGACGTTCAGTAGGGGCAAATAATGGTCAGCGAATACCTCCAAAGTTGCAGGTTGTCATGTTTAACCCTGGTGTCACGTGCTACAGAAGATTAGTTATTAGTAATCTAATTACTTTTTCAGTTACTAATAAATAATGACCGACTGAAAACATTTTCAAGTAATATGATGATGTATACAGGAACTGATTAACTGGTGTTGGTTAGAGCTAAAAGCGGTGACTTAAGGACGGTAGCACCTGGATAAAATGAAATGAAGTGACTGGAGAGTAGAGTCATGGTTGAAATCAGCGAAGACATTAACGTCATCAAAGAAGTAGCTCCGCCAAGGAGTCAGTTTAGGGAAGGTGCAGTGATCATGTTTTTTCAGGATGTAAGGTGAGGCCAGAGATGTCACGGTGGCGTTTCTTCCATGGATCATCAGCACACTGCTGAATACGACGCTGTGTGAAGACACACTCTCCACAATCCCAATATGCGCTAAACAGGAACATAAACACAATAAATTTACAAACCCACACATTTTCAGAAATGGTATTCATTGCCAAAGGAAAAAAAAATCCAAATTGTAAGTTGATATCTTACTTTTGTTGCAAAGATCTGCGTCCTTCACATTGTCCACTGACAGAAGTCTGGATTCTGAAAAAGGAGAGTATCCACACATATTATTGCTAAGATGCAGTATATATGAAGTGAGAAAATGACAATAATCAAACACTAACCTTTACTCATTGTGCTTGGAGGGCGCACTGGACTCAGTTTCCCTGCACAGCATGACCACAGAGAGAGGTTGTAGTAGCGGTGACCACAGCACCGGAAAGCTGTCTTGGCCATGTAGAGCACCTCCTTGTCCTCACTCGAGCAGCAAACATCCTGGTTATACAAAAGATGAATTAGGGATGCACCGATCCACATTTTTTCACTTCCGATCCGATCCCAATACCTGAATTTGGATATCTGCCGATACCGATACTATTCCGATACCAGAGCTCTGTTTGCTTTAATATTATTATTATCATTATTGTTGATTTTACATGAGGCTGTAATAAACTCCTCTCTACAGGCAAGTCTGATATGTACGTATGTATGCATGTATGTCCCAAAAGGCAACTTGAGGTAAGTATAAGGTCAGAAAAGCAGGAAATCCTGTTCACAGGAAAAATCCCATCCTGAAAACAAATATGCAACTGTAAGGGTTTCAAATTTATTGTCAATATTTATTAAATTCCAAGACAGTGTTAAACTACTAGTGCAATATACACTATCAAAAAACAAAAAGTACCTGTCATATTAATCTGAACAGCACAGATACAAATCAAGTAGACACTACTATGTAGTAGTGTTGTCACGGTACCAAAATTGGGACCTACTGTACGATACCAGTGAAAATATCATGGTTCTGAGTAGTATCACGATACCACAGCAAAAATGAGGCAGATGTGCCTTTTGTCATTTATAAAAAGATAAATCACTTTTCTATAATACATCAATGATATTTCAATGGAATAAATTACTTATTGACTTATTCATAATTCAAAAACGGCATCAATAAGTGATTAACATAGGGGGGGATCAAAATAAAATAAATAAATAAAATAAAAATCAACCAGCCACCCTCCTCTCCTGACAAGTTGCTTCATAAGTAACGAACAGTCCCTAAAGTGCGGTGAGGTTTGTGAACCGTTCCCTGCCACAAAGAGAGAAATGTGAATGGCTCGTTTCTCCTCTGACACGCCACATACCTGTGTGCCGCCACAGTTCGGCTGTTCAGGTACTTTTGGGCAGTCATGACGCCAAGAAGAGGACATTATTGGACCTGGAGTCGGACTTCAGAGCTGTCGCCGGTAAGCCCTTCTTGCGTCGCGCAGCACTATGAGCCTCCGCCGTATTTGACAGGAATACATTCCCGTCTGTGTCTGTGACCCCCATTTAACCCACAACCGGCAGGATTTGCCTTTAGTTTCTGCTGCTGGTTGAAATCTGTACTGGCACAGCGTGCTGAATGATTTATTTTGCGCGCACAAAACTATTTTTAGTCGCAAATGCGAGTAAAATGCTCGCACGTAGAGCTCTGTGGAAAACAAATCACTGTAGCATATATAAACAAATCGAACCTACAAGTAAAAAGAAATTAATAATAACTTTCACTGCTTAAAGATATTCAATAGCTCAGTTCATACCTGAAATGTCACTGGATACAAACCACTGCAGCGGCATATCGAGTGCCAGGTGGACAGCGTGCGCTGTTATTGGACACCGCATGGACACTCACGCTCTTGCAATTGGACTTTGATCTTATCCCACAGTAGTGGTACCTGAGGTACCGTAGTACTACAGTACTCCAACATTATGGTATCATATGTACTGTCATGTTTTAGTACCTCGGTCAGTGCAACACTACTATGTAGCAATCATCATATCATTCCAGCAGACAACGTGAAAGCACAGACGCGTCTCGTGGATTGGAAATTTCCGATCCGTGAATTACGTTGGTATCGGAACCCGATACCGATACTGGATCGGATCGGCCCCATCCCTAAGATGAATGTGATCTTCTGTTTCCTGTTTTATTTTGAAAGTCTGTTGTTTGTCTCACCATGTCCTGTCAAGTTTCCCGTCGCCCTGATTGTCTGATTGCTTTCACCTGTGACTCATTATCTCCCCTGTCAGAGTGTATAGGCCCTATTTAGATGGTCTATAGCAGACGCATAGCCTGTAAAATGAACTTGTTTTTCCCAGTTGAATTGTGATCATTTTGGCATGTAAATCACAAAATCAAAGATGTGAAAACGTTTGATAAACTTTATTTTGACATAAACACAACAATAACCAGCTTCTATGAACTAAAAACGTAAACTTAGAGCCACGTACAAATGTATATGTAAAAAAAAAGCTTTTAGAACGTAAAACTGAAGATCATCTTGTCAGGAGGAGGAGGAGGATGCACAGCGGCCGCACAGCTGGGGGCACCCGGGGGCACCCGGGGGCACCCGGGGGAAGCTCCACAGCCCGCGCGCAGCCAGACCAGACAGGCCTGGGTGCAGCCACGGGACGCGCGCGCTCTCTCTTTCTCTCTCGCAGTCTCACTCTGTTTCTTTTCTTTTGGCTTTTCTAGGATGACAGATGCTGAATATATACTCCCTATCTGATGCTGTGGCTGTTTGTGGTTGGCTGAGAGGGATGTGAACTTATTAGTTTGCAGCTGTGTTAATCAAATCAGGTTGGGTTTCCATTACGCGTGCCAAATGGTGCCAATCCCCTTTGATCTGACATCAGATGTGATGTGACAGTTGATATAGAGATACATTTATCTTCTCCTCAGCTGTAAAACTCTCACTCTTTCCAGTTGGTAGGTCCGCCATCTAACTAGCTCTCCGCTGTGCGCCTCTTTTAAAGGGAATGAGAGGTGACACTCTGATTGGCTTATTGAATGATACGCCCAAAACACACCCATGACTAATTCACAGAGTAAGTCCAACCCTTTTAGACTCTCCGCCATGGCGCACAGTCTAAAAACGCGCTGTCTAACTAGCAAGTGACTGGGACACGCCCATGCGCCGCACACCTGGCACTTTGCGTTTTAGACCATCTAAATAGGGCCCTAAAAGTCTATGTTTTCCCTTTGTTCTCCGTTAGATTGTCTTGTCCTTCGTGTGAGCTTTCCGGTGTTCTTCCTAGTGTGTATTCCTCATGAGATTGACCTTTTTTCATATTCAGACCAGTGAATTTTTGCCTGTTGATTTGGTTACCTCTGCCTGTGCTGACTGCCTTTTGTGTACCGACCAGGACTGGATCAAAAACCCTGAACTCTGGATTTCGTTTCAGTCTGCATTTGTGAGTCCACCATTGTGTCTGATAAAAATAAGACTGAGGGAAGCGTACTTTCTCTGTCAAAGGGACATGCAGAAACAAATAATATATTTCATATGTTCTATGCTAAAAAATAAAACCTACCTGTGAGGTTTGCAGAACAGATCCACAGCACTGTTCCTCGTGTCCGGCAGTCAGATTATGCAGTATCCCTCCGCAGCACTTCATCAATGGATCTTGAATGTCATACGCCTTTCCCCCACAGCAGCGGGTGTTTTCTGTTCTGTTTTGATGCCTGTGTGGAGAAACAGAGCTCGTAGTTGATATCAAATCACGTGAGTGATATAATAAGTTATTATTATGATGTTATGAAGACAGATCACTTTATGCATGGGTGTATTACAGAATGGGACGAGGCTTTGACTTTGCATTTCTTTTCAATAACACAACACCAAAAGTCCTGTAAGAAGTAAACTGAAGGAAAAGTCTAAACATTCACTTCAAAGATGCCACAAGAAAAAGAAAACATGATACATTTTAAGTGAGTGTTTCTATCACCTTATCTAAAGGACTTCAGATGTGCTTCAGGGAGGCCTTTTATGCATACGGGCCCCTTGTGTCATAATCCACCCATAGCTGGATGTCAGATTTAAAGATAACTTTTTCAAAACTGTGTCTACTCAGGCTGCAAGGTGGAGGCAGCATGCCAGCAGCGCAGCTTCAGTACTGTGCCACAGTACAACAGAAATCACAGTAGTTATATAGCAAAAGAAAAAAAATAGACTTGAAGCCTGATTGAAATTGAGGAGTATCTGTTCCATCAGATACGCATGAGACTGTAAATGCAACTGATATCTAGGCTGTTAAATGTTATTAGGTTGATCTGGTGTACATGTCAGCAAACACTTGCTGACTTACACATCCAACAGACAAAGGAAGCGTCTGCATGTGTCCAGACATGTGGCAGACATAAATCTGTGTGCCTGCATTTGATTTCCACGAGTGGGCCCAATGTAAACGTAATAGTTGGTGTGTATGGATCAGACTGTTTGTACGATTATAAACACCAATACCAAGCCTATTCAGTTGAAGGCCCGTGGGCCACATCCGGCACACAAGCTCCAAGTAGCCCAGCTAGGGACTGGTACCAAGTTTTTGTTTCATTTATAATCGTGGAGCAGCTTCTTTCCTGCTGTCTGCATGTCGGGGCTGACCTCCACTCACACACATACACATATAAACACAAACACGACTCAGAGGGAAGTGAGTGACCAGTGGAGAGGCCGCGGTGCAGATGAAGTGAATGTCACTTGAAGATTACGCAACAGCGGTTGAGGAAAACTACGCTTGTTACTGTAAGTAAGAGCAATAAAACCTTTGCCAGTGAAAAAGCCAATACTTCATCAATACGCGTGTTCAGCATGTAAAAAGCGATACTTCAATCTGCTCAGTCCACAGTCTCTCATCCTCTGCTGCTATGTTTTACACAAGCACGGCATGCTTGCACGCCTAATAGTGATTTGTTAACCTTTCTAACTCCGCCAGGATGCCAACGTCCTCGCTCCCCTCCTCCTCTGTTATATGGTATCTCCCGGGCGCACTACGTCATCAAACCATGTGATGTTTGGTATTGCCGGATTCAGGAATCTCTCAACTTTTCATTTATTATGTATTTCACACCAGAGCAGCCTAAACACACATAGTCCAAAATCACTATGTGTCAATCATGAGTGGTGACAAGCCATGTCATGCCGTTTTTCGATGGAAAAAGTTAAAGGATTACTCGCGATCTTATGCGGAGCTGTTAGCGGGGACTTAGCTGGTGTATAAAAGGTAAGAGTCTCACTCCTACCACTATTTTTGGCTGAGATATACCGCCTAGAAAGTGGGATCATAACTTTCATGTTTCATGTGGCTTTATTTGGTGATATTTTATGGTGTTTCTGTGTCAAAAACAACATCAGCTATCATAATCACACCTGATTTCAATAAGGTACAATGTTTGAAGCTGGCTGAGTGTTGTTTGATCACTGACAGTACTGTTTTGAAGCCGAGTGACCATCTTTTCATGGAAAAAACACTGTAGAATGGTCATACTTTGTGCAATCTTCTTCAAATTTGGTATAACTGTTCATTGATAGTGTGCCTACAGTCCCATAGTGTCATTTACCTGCTCATATGAAGCCACAGACAGTTATTCATCCTGAAAATCATTTTATATTTAATTTTAGGCAAAATCTTCAATTTTTTTACTGACTTAAGAGGCCCATTACTCTGTCTCTGTATCACCTAGAGTGTTTCTGACACTTTCACAAGAAACTTCAGGGAATTTTCTTTCTGGAAAGACCTCATGCATGCATGTAGTCAGAGCGGTTCAGAAGCTACAGTCATTTTAATTTGGGTATGTCATTTTAGGTGTTTTTGCTACAAAATGGGGGTGGAGTACAAGATTAAAAAGTCCTAAACATTTGACCTGGTAGTACTGGTGGTACTGGTGGATCAAGATAGAGTATGTTATTGGTTGTTAATGCCTCCTGTCGTGGTTCTGTGCATTTAATAGTGATAGCTCTTTTTTGTTCTGCATTTAGTGACATGCCTGGGTCAGATATGTGACTAAAAACATTTTTTTTTATTTCAAAAGTGAGACGCTAAACATTGCTATTTTCCCGCGCTCGCGTGCGCGCATGCACAAGCGAACACTCCCACACACTCATTCCCACTCATTGTGCTAATTGTTGTTGTTGTTCTTTTGTGTTTTAGTGTAACTATGTCTTATTTCATGCTTTTGTTAACTGTTTTCCCTTCTCATATACATTTTTTGGGCACATGTATGTCTATAATATGCTCACATATGATACATGTCACAGGAAGCAAAGGAGGGGACTGGCAGAGATTTAATTATTAACAAACCACATCATTCTCAATGTCATCCTTAAAGTTCATCAGCTGGAACATCCGGGGCATTAGGTCGCCAGCAAAACGTACTAAAGTTCTTAACCACCTGGCTAAAATAAAACCCAGTTTCTGCCTACTACAGGAAACACATCTCACAACATTAGAACATATAAAACTTAAGACCAAATGGATAGATCAAATCTTATTTGCTTCTTACAGCTCCAAAAAACAAGGAACTGCTATCTTGATAAATAAAAATATCCCATATCACAATGAAACTACAATCACAGGTGGCCATTTTGTTATCATTAAAGGACACATCAGAAATGTTAAAATAACAATTGCAAATATTTACGGACCCAATGAAGACAACCCACATTTTTTTTCATACAGTATTCTCTCATCTCATTAATCTTTCTGATTCAGCAATTATAGTAGGGGGGGGGGGGATTTTAATACAATCCTCGAACCAAATCTTGACAGATCAAATCCTGGAACCACTCACAGATCATGGCACTCATCTGATATTATCAAAAAATACATGGAAGGCCTTGGACTTAGCGATTGTTGGCGAACCAAAAACCCACTTCATAAAGAATACACTTACTACTCACCCCCTCACAAAAGTTACTCCCTCATTGACTACTTTCTAGTAAGCAATTCTATTATACCTCATATTAACAACTCAGAAATTCATCCAATAATCATCTCAGACCATGGCCCAATCAGCTTTGATATAGTGCAAGAACCTACACAAACCCCTTCAAGTAGATGGCGGTTCAACACTTCACTCCTAGCAGACACAGATTTTAATAACCTTCTCAAGAGAGAGTGGACATCCTTCATAGAGCTGAACGACTCCCCAGAAATATCTCCATCCATTCTTTGGGAAACAGCAAAAGCAGTCGTCAGGGGCCATATCATCTCATACTCTACCCACAAGAAGAAAAAGGAACAAGAAAAAAAACAAGAACTGGAACATAAACTGAAACATCTCCATTCTTAACAATCCTGCAACCCCACTTAACATACTCAAAATGAAATACAGAAAGTTAAAACACAGCTTGATAACATAATACATCAGCAAACTCAATTTCTCATGCAAAGAATGAGACTGAATTATTTTGAACATAATGAAAAATCAAGTAAATTTCTCGCGAAACAACTGAAACGAAACAAAGAAAAATCACTTATTACAACTATCCAAGACCCACAGGGAAACTTAATATACAACCCAATAGAAATAAACACAATATTTTGTAACTACTATCAAACTCTCTACCGCTCAGACAATGTAACAAATATCTCCGACATCCACTCCTTCCTCAACAATATTGAACTACCAAAAATAACAGAAGAACAAGCAACCATATTAGACTGACCCTTGAACTCAGAAGAACTCAGGAAATCCATTTTCTCCATGCCCAACAACAAATCACTTGGTTCAGATGGTTACCCAATAGAATTTTATAAACACCACTGGCACCTCATATCTCCCCTTTTCAACAGAATGGTCAATGAAATCAAATCATCAGGAACCATACCCACACACATGAATTCAGCTCATATTTCAGTTCTGCTCAAACCTGATAAAGATCCAACTCTCACCTCCAGCTACAGACCAATAAGCCTGATCAACTGTGACTTAAAAATAATAAGCAAAGCTTTAACTAACAGATTAGAAACAGTCATACCCACAATAATTCATCCACATATTCCACACATAACACATATTCTTTAAGGTCACAGTGAACTTGACTTTCGGCCACAAAATTCTCATCAGTTAATTCCTCAGTCCAAGTGGATGTTTGTGCCAAATTTGAAGAAATTCCCTCAAAGTGTTCCTGAGATATCGCATTCAAGAGAATGAGACAGTTATGGTGGCAATGACCTTGGCCTTTGACCCTTGACTACCAAACTCTAATCTTATCCTTGAGTCTTAGAGAACGTTTGTGCCAAATTTGAAGAAATTCCCTCAAGGCGTTCTTGACATAGCGCATTCACGAGAATGAGACAGACAAGGTCACAGAGACCTTGACCTTTGACCCACGACCACCAAAAAATAATCAGTTCATCACTCAGTAAAAGTGGACAATTGTGCCAAATTTGAAGAAATTCCCTTGAGGCATTCTCGACATTTTGCGTTACAAAGATGGGATGAATGAATGGATGGATGGACAGACGGAAAACACGATGCCTCCAGCCACGGCTACCATCGGCGTGGAAGCATAAAAAATCATGTCCCTCCACCTCCTTCTATTGCCTCTGATGGCATTTGCCCCAAAAACAACCAGTCGAGGAGTCTCCACAGCAGCTTGTGAACATCCATTAGAAGCAATGAAAGGAGGCAGAAGATTATGGTTTTGTTTTTACAGATTGTCTGTTTCATGTGCTACCGTGTGAATATAGCAACAGTTTCAGCAAATAAGTTACCAACTGTGGCTTTAACCAACATGCCAGACTGAAATATGCTCTGACTCTTAAATATCAGGGCCCTATTAAGACATCCTAAACCCCAGAAACATGAAAAGGCATATCTGTAAGTCAAAACAAGCACAAGCACATGCATGTGACAAACATACAGACAGGCAGAGTGGATGTTTGTCAGGGCGGCTGCACACCCACACAGACATTCCTTGGCTCAGCAGCCAAGGAATGTCTGGTACATTTAAAGTATGGCAAAAACAAAGCCCGGCTGCTGGAATGTCTGCCTGTCTCGGAGACAGTGCAAAGGAGCCAAAGAGTTTTTCCATGTCACCCCTGTCTGAGTTTGTCTCCAAGAGACATAGAAAGCAAGTGCTTCTCACACAGTCTACATCATTATCTATGAAGACACACTGTCAGCAAGCAGCACACAGAACACATACCAAACTGATTAAAAAAGGTTTTACCATCTAATTGAATTTCAAGTATTTTCATGGATAAGCGTGAATACACATGCACACATAATCACCTGTGGCCATCGCAGCAGATCTCAGTTTTAGGATGATATTTTTCTGTACCGCAGCAGTGTCTTCCAGGTGAGCCATGAAACTTAGAACTACACATAGTCTCTTTAGCTGGGTTGAAGGGAACACCAAGCGCTGAACATTCCTCTCCATCTTCTCTGCCCTTGAATAAGGTGTTATTACAACACAGAACTCCAGGTTGTGCAAAGCTGTATGCCGTCTCTCCACAGCACTTGAAGAATCAGAGAAAATACAGGTAAGTGTGCAGCAAAAAAGACACAAGCAGGCACAGTCATCCAAATGCTCACATGGGAACACATTCTGACAAAAAAACATACAGACCCAAATCAAAAAAAGGTAATATCATCCTTTTGCATATGCAGTTAGCGTACCCAACCCCAACATTAGCAGTGCGTTTTATGCATTACAGTCAAAACACGCTTGCTATATAAAAGGAGCTGGGTGGAGCTTCGGCCCTCTCAGCGAAGCTGCACAAAAACAGTTTTCTTTTTCTTTTTTTAAAGTAATAACTGGGATGCACTGCAGTCCATTCTAAAACTGATAATATTATTATTTTCATAGATTACATTCAATAAATATGCTGTTTTTCCTCAAAACAGCATTTTATTTGACTTAAAGTGCTGTCATAAGACACATGAGGCAGCCACAAGTCACAACTTTTTTTTTTTTTTTTTTTCCAGGGAGGAGTGATGAGAACCATGCATCTACAAGCCCTCAAACCCCTTAGGAAAGGGTGGTTTATGTTTCCAACAGAAAAAGACACAGAAATACCATTGACCTCTACAGGAAAAATGCTCCACCCAGCTGAGTAGATCAGAAACAGTAACAGTAACAGTAACAGTAGCACATTACTTGATCCAACCAAGGCTTCCACTCAGATACACAGCCATCACAGCAGATATGTGTATGCGGGTTATACCGCTGGGGGGCATCTTCACATCGACCTAAACAGGAGTTTGGGGAGGGGGTACAGGAAAGAGCATTTACAATGTGTGTGGGAAGAATTACATGTGTAAAAGGTCACTCAGAGGTTTGAGAGAGACAAGAAAATAAGACATTAAAACTGAGAAGCATGTGGCAAAAACCAGCCCATATTTTCCTGGTGTTCACTAGCACGCGTAAGAGCCTGTCCTCTATCCTCCAGTTTGAAAAGGGTGGGAAACTACATGTGAGTGGTTTCTCATCATTCTTTTTTTTGCATTGAGTAAATGAAAAAACTTAAGGTAAGCAGCAGAGAGCTGTAGACAGGGAAATGGGTGGATCCCACATCTGTGGGACCAACACCCAGTAGACTCTCATCTGATCCTAATGCTGCTTCTCTGCCTGTGTTATTTCCCAGCTATATGAATGAATAACAAACTGACAATGATGGGTTTTCCCACTCTTTCTCCCACCAGTAAAAACTGGCCCATGTTTCCAGGATCCAGGTCTGAACAAGACAATGACAGGAGGTGATCTACAGTCCTGAGAAAAAGCACTTTTATGTGGCACTGGGAGAATTACCCTCTCTGATAAGATGATAGTCACCTCAGGGGAGGGTGGGGCTCCTCTGTGGTTTACATTACACATTCTAATGTTTGACATTACTATAATTATAAAACTTGATCTCTCAAAATGGGTTACTGCTTAACAATTATGAGCTTTTTGTATAACCTAAATGTTTTGTATGACCTAGCTTACAGAATTTTATTTTCCTGGGCTTGTTTCCAACCAGACATCTCCGGTAACAAGTCAACCCATTCTGTCTCCACAAAGGAGTGTTTTAATTTGTGACTAGACATTCTTAAAGGTTTGGGAACATCTCTGGCTGGAACCTCAGCAAAGGGAAGGCGTCAGCCAGTACAGTACGAGGGAAAAAAACCCTTAATTTTCCATTCATCCTTCCAAAAGAAAAGAACACAAAGAGTTCACACACCCGAGATCAGAGTGCTGTTTTTATAAGACGTTTCAGATCTTTGTGTTCTTGCTTCAGTAGTGTCATTTAGCTTCAGGTCTGAGGCTCAACCTTAAACAAGCAGTTTTTGTGCCTAAACCTAACCAGATGTATTGCTGTTGCAGATCAGCACTTATACAAATTAGTTTTGTAACAGTCATACAAAATGTAGGCTAAGACTCACAGAAGGAGTTTCTTAAACTTTATGCAGGTGAGTTATAGTATACTACACACACCCTCCTCCTGCAGCACTGCCCTCTCCGTCCTCCATACACTGATTTATTTAATCTTATTTCATTGTAGAGTTGTGTGGAGCGCATTTGCTCTGCCCGTCTGTCTTTCTCTCTGTTTATCAGACCGCAAATGAGAAGAATAAGGTGGTCCACAGTGATTGCTTCACCAGGAAGAGAGCTGGCAGCAGCTCAAATTCAGCCAGCGCAAACACCTCTGCACTGGGTGTCACAGTAGGTTGCTGGTCAGAGGCAGCCCCCAGTCTAACCTGTGTAACTGGAAGAATAGAAAGTTTGCAGATGCAGCAGGGAGTCAGGGCTGTCTAGTCCCCTGGAGCTGGAGTTTGAGCTGGCTGGATTTGAGTTGCTGTGGCCGCTGAGTGAGGATCAGTCTCCAGAGCTGCTGCCTGCCCCTCTCCCGGCGAGGTGGTCTGCAGCAGCGGTGGAGGACACAGTGTCATTTTAGCTATACAACATGAGCTTGAAGCCGTAGCTGTGAGCCTTTAGCTCCAGTTATCAAAAGGCCAAACTACTGGCAAAATTTTCTCTCCATCTCTGAAAACCTTTGCCAGTACTGACACGTTTTATTGTCAGACTTTGTTTCAGACACTCTTAAATTCATCTTCCTTTTTGGGTTGCTTTGCAGTGTAGGCAGTTCTCTGCAGGATTCTCTGCCACTGAATCAGGCTTTCGCCAAAGGGACGTGCACATGCATAGTCTCCTGTCACCAGCTAAAGCCTGCAAATAGAGCCAAGAGAAGGTGCAGAAGTCTAGTGTTTTCTCAGATCACTTGAACGACATTATGCTTTTTACAATGGGATTTTTGCCCACTGTTGCCAAAATAAAATTGCCAAACCCAGCTTAAAATTCAAATGACTGCCTCTGCGATCTAACCACTCCTCACACCTCCACCCCTCCCCAGAAAGACCCCAAGTATGTACTTACACATGTAATCTGATCTTTATCATCTTAACCTTTCACAATCACGTGTCGGAGATTTTATCTTTTGCTGCAGAGCCTTTTACAGATACTAGATCCAAAGTGAAATCAGCCACTCCTGCTGTGTTTCCATCTACATCATCAACCGACAGTTTAGCATAACGACAACAACGTCTCCTGGCACAGTATTATGTGAAGTCTATCCCCGAGGGTTTTTCTGTGTGCCACTGAAATGAGCTAATATCTAGTAGAATGTGGGGGAATTTGTGGTGAAAGATGTTCCGGCATTCACCCAAGAAGACGTGACATCCCATCAGATAACGCCCAAAACAAACACACCCACAGTCATACCTGGAGCGCAGCACCACAGAGAGTTTTCCTGGTTTTTCTCACAGCAGCGGAAACGATTTGGATTGTAACATGATGACCCACAGGGAACTGAGTCTGGCTCAGTGCTGTGGATGTGCAAAGATAAAGCAAAACTAAAAACTCTCATGAACACTATCATACAACATGGTTGAATGCAATCACCTTAAGTCGCTTAGGATAAAAGTGTTAACGAAATAAATGCAATGTCAAAAGCATGGACACAATTCTTTGTACAGCAAAATGACCAAAAGTGTGCAATTGCTAACTCTAATGAAACTCTTTATTGGAACAAGATTTTTACTGTAAATGATGTTTTGATGATTGTCAGTGTGTAGCACAAATAAAGTTTTGTTGGTGTCAGTACGACCGGTAAAACCTTTGGTTGACTTACCAGATGGGTTGAGATGCAGGACTCTAAAAAACACAAAAAATAAAACACAAAAATGTTAGTATCTCCAACTACTACACCGCTCATTCCTTGTTCTTAACATACCAATGCAAAGCAACAATATCACCACCACCGAGCACACCAAGCAGCTGCAAAGTGCGGCGTGCAACAAGCTGCCATGCAATGTGTGTGGAAAGCTGTGGTGGTTCGATTCTGCAGTGAGCAACTTAAACTTAAAGTTGAGGATAGTTTAACTTTTGGCAGCAAATTGTGGCCAGAGAATGCCCGCAGCTCTTCAGAAAACGGAGTTCTGTGGCTCCTGTGACATGTTGAACTATGTTACAAAGTCACAGGGATCTATTTGCTGATTCATTGTGGGTAGTCTCTGGCCGCAATTCGATACTAAATGTTAAACCAACCCCAACTGTTAAATTAGCCGTACTCAACCACTGAATTAAACAGTCACAGCTTGGAGCTTGATAGAAATAGCATGGCAGCATGCCACAGGCCGCATCTCATGACTTCATGGTGTGTTTTTGATGTAAACTTGATCCATCTGAATCGATACACCCTCTAAACAACCTCTGACAGTCTTTCCCCGTCTGACTTCATTCTCAACCTACATTAGAAAATTGCTCGCTATAAAATAAACTCCGCAACATACCTTGAAATATGTATGTAGTCATTAGGGCTGAGAATGTGTTACTGATTTACCGTACTTCCTTTATATAATACTATTACTATATATTGCTATTACTGAAGTCTGCTGCTAAATTCAGCATCATGTTTCACTCAGAACAGTTTTTAACAAATCAGAAGTTAACACCGTTGTTAACCCAGATGAGCGGAGGATTAGCTGGGAAACATCACATTAATTTATTTTACATGGAGCTACAATTGATACTGAATTATGTTAACTGTTTGCCGAATGTGTTAGTATCTCTTAATAAGTCAACAAAAATCATTAGAAGGCGCAGATGTTTATCTTAAGCTAGCTCGAGCCATGTTAAAGTCAACAATATTTTCAACTGAACATAGCAAGCTAATTGCTGACATGCTCAATTGAAAAGGAAAAAAAACAATGCTTTGAGATGGCAGAGGTATGATCACATAATCCCGTTTGAGCTATAACAGGTGGCGTGTTCAACGTTTTATTTCCCAGTTGCTTTTGAAAAGTACTTTTGTAGAGTACTGTAAACAAACTGTTGCTAATGGAAATAGCCTTGGTTCAACGGGAACTGCCCATTGGTCCGACATCTCATTGTTCCGACCATATTAAACTCATTGTTCCGAAGTCCTGTTGTTCCGAAATCATCATGATGCCTGTGGTTAAGGTCTGGTTAGGTTCAGGCACAAAAACCACTTGGTTAGGGTCAGGAAAAGATCATGGTGTGGGTTAAAATGAAAAAAAAAGTGGCAAACACATAAGCTGTGAGCCTGCTTCGCTTCAAGCCTTTCCCAGCTGACCCAGAGCGCACCATCAAGGCAGAAATACACCCGCCGGGAGCCATTCAGCACCACAGACAGCTTCCCACACAACCCGGACCCCAGAGTTAATAACAGGAGGTTATGGTGTTTCACTCTCTCCTCTCTATGACACTTGTATCTCGACCAGTAGCCTACTTTTGTTGTGTTTGCTGATCCTCTATGGTACACAAATACAGTATAGCCTAGTATAGTCACATATCGGAACAACGGGACGTCGGACTAATGGGATGTCGGACCAATGGGCTGTTGGACTAATGACATGAACCCGGTTCAACGCCGGAAGTTGCACCCATAATTCACGCACAGTATCATGGGGGCTAGGAATAAGGTGGATAGTCTGTTTCAAATTTCACATTATAAACATTATACAAGGGTCCAAGTGTATTTCTTGTTCGAGTGTTTGTAAATGAAGTAACTGACGGTAAGTAAACAGCACCCAGAGCTGTTGACCTAGCTACAGAATAACAGTGAAATTGTATCTGTGCATGAGGTCATTGTTATGGTGCGTGCAACTTTAGGCAGCTTCGACATGGGTGTAACCTAAATAGTTTTTGTCTCCCGTGACAAAGAGGTGAATCACATCAACTGAAGACAGCAAATTGTTTCTTACCTGTTGCGGTGCACCTGCGGAGATAAAGCACATAAAATAGTTTGAGAGCACTTGCAGGGTAAAAAACAACAAACATAAGCAGAGATGTCAACAAACTGTGCGTATCTTAGCAGAGCTCTGGCTCAAGTGTCAGTGACTCATCCTGCATGTTCAAACATTTGCCGTAAATCCTCTCTAGCTTCTGGAGATGAAAACGTCAAAAAGTGTTTCAAGTTGCAGTTATAGTTTACATCCATGTCTGTGAAAACACAAATGCTTCACACACATCTTCCCCCTGGCAGCACAGAAGATTTATACAATCAGCAAAGTTTCCACCAAGCAGTCTGGTACAGCTCAAGTTGTGGATGGTACCAATGGAACCGTTCCGTACCGTCCCTATTTTTGGTCAACCCTCTGTTGGGGTACCTAGCACACAGATCTGGTACTAAAAGGTGGAGCTGTGAACACTGCAGTCTGTCGGTCAATAGCGGATGGTCTCTCTGCTCAGGGCTGAGTTGTGGCTTGTTTTGAGGCTCATGTAACCACTGTTCATACTGTGGAGAGTTTTATTAGTAAACTGTAACTAGAAAATAAAAGGATGTTTTGCTGCCTCATGTAAAAATAATTAATTGGACCGACTGACAACTTTTAAGATGGGACATTTACTTGTAAAATTCCTAAACACATGAGTCAACGACATGAATCTATCAGCACATCTTAAATTTCAATATGACATCTTTGATCATTACTTTACTTTTTACTGTAAGCGCTAAGAGTGGTCGGATGACTAGAAAGGCACTATACAAATGCAGGTCCATTTACCATCCTGGATGACATACACTTTTAGTAATAAGTGGATTGCCAAGCATTTAAAAATATATATGAATTTCACCAGATTATATAAACTGCATATATTCTAATTCTTACTTGGAGAAAAAAAAATATTACGAAGCGTTGTTCCTGTGGGCTTCGACAACACTAAACCCTTAAGCTTGCCTAAGAAGGACTAAATGCACAAATTCGCTATTTTTAAGTATCGTATTGAGAGAAACTCTCACTCAGCCTTTTTTATTTTGTTCTGAAAATGTCAGTGTGCAACCTTGTTCTGTGGATGATAAACAAGGTGCAGATTGATAAAGGAGGAAATACAGTGAGTGCTGGATGGAGCAGAGAGTGACAACAACCCAACCTGCCCACATAAAAGGGTACTGTTTGCAGTGGAAACACTAAGCAGACCTAAGGTCTAGGTACCATGTCTGAAGGATTACCTTTGGTTCCGAAGGTACCATACTGAAAGTGTTTGGTGAGTATCTGACCAAATGTCTCCCCTTCTGTTCCTGAGATGTGATGTTAAGTAATGGCCACAAAAGTGTTTTGCAGAACATTATAATGACACAGTGAAGTTGATCTTTGACCTTTTGGGGATAAAATGTCATCATCTCATCATTTTATCCCATTAGCCATTTTTCTGGTGAAATTTTGTCATAATTAGCGCATGGATTATTGAGTTGTGGCCAGAAACATGTTTTGTGAGGTCACCGTGACCTTTGACCTTCAATCACCAAATTCTAATCAGTTCATTGTCGAGTCCAAATGGATGTTTGCGCCAAATTTGAAGTAATTCCTTTGAGGCAATCTTGAGTTATCGCCTTCACAAGAATGGGACATACATATGTACAGATGGACAGACGGATGAATGCCTCCAATGCGGAGGCTTGAAAAACATGCCTCATATAACCACCTCAATCGGAAGAGACTGGCCCGATCTGTAGGAAATTTCAGTCGAGTTGAGAGGGGTGGTGTTTAACTTTGATAATCCTTTCAAGAGGAAAACATAAGCACCTAATAACCACGTAAAGACCTCGTTCAATCATTTCTCTCTGATTGGAACAATCATATTTTTTCGTGCATGTTTGCCCCTCATGGGAGTAACATTAGGAGTTGTAGCTGGTGTGTGGGTAGCGACATGCTGCAACTGTGGGGGGAACCACTTTACAATGTGGATGTGTTAGTGCATGTGAACGCACGTCTTCTCACATCACTCTCTTTAGTATTCAAGTAAGCAGCTAAATTGGATTCTGTGGACTGAATGATTTCAATCAGATTGAAGAAATATTGTCTTTGTAATTATTCAAAACATTTTCTTATTTCATGAGGGTGGATTGCAGTGGGCAGATAAACTTCAAANAATAGTTTTTGTCTCCCGTGACAAAGAGGTGAATCACATCAACTGAAGACAGCAAATTGTTTCTTACCTGTTGCGGTGCACCTGCGGAGATAAAGCACATAAAATAGTTTGAGAGCACTTGCAGGGTAAAAAACAACAAACATAAGCAGAGATGTCAACAAACTGTGCGTATCTTAGCAGAGCTCTGGCTCAAGTGTCAGTGACTCATCCTGCATGTTCAAACATTTGCCGTAAATCCTCTCTAGCTTCTGGAGATGAAAACGTCAAAAAGTGTTTCAAGTTGCAGTTATAGTTTACATCCATGTCTGTGAAAACACAAATGCTTCACACACATCTTCCCCCTGGCAGCACAGAAGATTTATACAATCAGCAAAGTTTCCACCAAGCAGTCTGGTACAGCTCAAGTTGTGGATGGTACCAATGGAACCGTTCCGTACCGTCCCTATTTTTGGTCAACCCTCTGTTGGGGTACCTAGCACACAGATCTGGTACTAAAAGGTGGAGCTGTGAACACTGCAGTCTGTCGGTCAATAGCGGATGGTCTCTCTGCTCAGGGCTGAGTTGTGGCTTGTTTTGAGGCTCATGTAACCACTGTTCATACTGTGGAGAGTTTTATTAGTAAACTGTAACTAGAAAATAAAAGGATGTTTTGCTGCCTCATGTAAAAATAATTAATTGGACCGACTGACAACTTTTAAGATGGGACATTTACTTGTAAAATTCCTAAACACATGAGTCAACGACATGAATCTATCAGCACATCTTAAATTTCAATATGACATCTTTGATCATTACTTTACTTTTTACTGTAAGCGCTAAGAGTGGTCGGATGACTAGAAAGGCACTATACAAATGCAGGTCCATTTACCATCCTGGATGACATACACTTTTAGTAATAAGTGGATTGCCAAGCATTTAAAAATATATATGAATTTCACCAGATTATATAAACTGCATATATTCTAATTCTTACTTGGAGAAAAAAAAATATTACGAAGCGTTGTTCCTGTGGGCTTCGACAACACTAAACCCTTAAGCTTGCCTAAGAAGGACTAAATGCACAAATTCGCTATTTTTAAGTATCGTATTGAGAGAAACTCTCACTCAGCCTTTTTTATTTTGTTCTGAAAATGTCAGTGTGCAACCTTGTTCTGTGGATGATAAACAAGGTGCAGATTGATAAAGGAGGAAATACAGTGAGTGCTGGATGGAGCAGAGAGTGACAACAACCCAACCTGCCCACATAAAAGGGTACTGTTTGCAGTGGAAACACTAAGCAGACCTAAGGTCTAGGTACCATGTCTGAAGGATTACCTTTGGTTCCGAAGGTACCATACTGAAAGTGTTTGGTGAGTATCTGACCAAATGTCTCCCCTTCTGTTCCTGAGATGTGATGTTAAGTAATGGCCACAAAAGTGTTTTGCAGAACATTATAATGACACAGTGAAGTTGATCTTTGACCTTTTGGGGATAAAATGTCATCATCTCATCATTTTATCCCATTAGCCATTTTTCTGGTGAAATTTTGTCATAATTAGCGCATGGATTATTGAGTTGTGGCCAGAAACATGTTTTGTGAGGTCACCGTGACCTTTGACCTTCAATCACCAAATTCTAATCAGTTCATTGTCGAGTCCAAATGGATGTTTGCGCCAAATTTGAAGTAATTCCTTTGAGGCAATCTTGAGTTATCGCCTTCACAAGAATGGGACATACATATGTACAGATGGACAGACGGATGAATGCCTCCAATGCGGAGGCTTGAAAAACATGCCTCATATAACCACCTCAATCGGAAGAGACTGGCCCGATCTGTAGGAAATTTCAGTCGAGTTGAGAGGGGTGGTGTTTAACTTTGATAATCCTTTCAAGAGGAAAACATAAGCACCTAATAACCACGTAAAGACCTCGTTCAATCATTTCTCTCTGATTGGAACAATCATATTTTTTCGTGCATGTTTGCCCCTCATGGGAGTAACATTAGGAGTTGTAGCTGGTGTGTGGGTAGCGACATGCTGCAACTGTGGGGGGAACCACTTTACAATGTGGATGTGTTAGTGCATGTGAACGCACGTCTTCTCACATCACTCTCTTTAGTATTCAAGTAAGCAGCTAAATTGGATTCTGTGGACTGAATGATTTCAATCAGATTGAAGAAATATTGTCTTTGTAATTATTCAAAACATTTTCTTATTTCATGAGGGTGGATTGCAGTGGGCAGATAAACTTCAAAAGTTCAATAATAAACATAAGCCTGAGGTAACAATCATCAACAGATTTTAAAGGTTTGCATAAAAATGCATCAGACAGGTGAGGGACGATGTTCAAACGCACCTGACTGCTTCATACAGCAGTTGGAATGTTTGGATTGTATCTCAAGATTGTCTTGACAGCAGCACTCAGTCTTCTTGTCGTACTGTTTCTGTCCACAGCACTCATGGTCAATGGAATTTCTCTCCAGGATGATCCTGCTCTTACTGCAACACAACTGTGTGGTGCTATCAAAAGCCTCTGTGGAATAGATCAAGAAGATGATTAAAACTGTATCATTTTTACCTTAGCCACAACTGAGGTGACAAGCCTCTATATGTCCTGCAGACCACAAGTGTTTGGATAGAATGCTATAAAACACAACATAATATGCGTTAAATGTACCATTGTGAAAGACTGAGGGGAAACAGTTGCAACATCATATCAGCAGAATCATTCATTTTCCGTAATCTACTTCTGTAATTTTGAATCGGATTATCATTACATTTATATGTGTAGAATACCTGACAGGGTGCATGTATTTGTGGTAAGGCTCTAAGGCCCTGTGTCCACCAAGGCCTTTTGTTCGTAGCTAAAAAAAACACCAGGTGCTTCTCAGGAAATGCCAAGCTCAGAGCTTAAGAGCAATTTGGAGGCGCAGTGTTTTCTCAGCTGAGATGCTTTGGTTGCATCTGGTTGCAATGATAAGGAATATCTGTGGGAGTAAGACTTTTGGCGCAAGGAAGAGCACTTGCTCTGGGTGAAGGGAAGGCTGAAGCACGTAGGGAGACACACCAGTCTGGGTTCATGAGAAGAAGTACACATATATATGCATATATAAATGTATTTCTCCTCCATTGTTGCTGTTGTTGGTCAACACTTGTAAGATCTGACAGTTGGTCTTTGTGGTATTTGTCCCTCCTCCACTGTGATTGAACGGCTGGGTGAAAAGTGACAGGGAAGAGTGCAGCGTTTAAACTAAAGTTGGTCATTTTTCAGCTCTCTGCACTCTGCTGGCGTTTGTAGTGTAGCGTAAATATGCAGTGCCCCATTGAATACAGTTACAAAAATACGCTGGCCTCAGGTAAAAATGATTTGGTGAACACGGCCCCTAAGCTCTTTAGCTCAGCCTTACAGTTGCTGTCCTTATACAGAGTTCAATATGCTCTTAACAAACATCTGTACTTGTCTGGTTGTTGTTCAGTCACTAAAAATTAATGGACAACTTAGTGAACAATTGGGAATTTTTAGTGGGAATGGTACACATTACAATAACAGAACCTAAAGAAATTATACTTTGTAAATGTATACTGTATGTTTATACGATGCCTTATGTCCATCAATTGTGTCCAGTTCTTCTCACCTTTCCCACAACATCGGGCCTTTGGCACAGGTTTGGCTACGACGCTTAAGTGACAACATATTTCATTGAGTTTGTCGTAGGCCTTCAGTCCACAGCAAACTGACACCTTTTGACTGAGACCATCTGTAACATACAAACACAGACATCAGCACCACAGTCACAGCTGGAAGTGCTGTATGTTAGAGTGGAGCAAAAACAGTGCTGGGAAGTTCCCATTTGCGATGACATGCAATATTCAGACAGACAGTACAACAGTATAATGCAAAACACAAGGCTTTGTATTACAGCTGCTTTTCCATCTTTTTGTTCTTGAACTGGAAGCAGCACAGAAGACGGTCAGAGAGGAGCTAATGGAAACAAGATACTTGTGTGTTCCATTAAAGTGCGTCATCTGAACTATGTGTTATGTGCATCATGCTGAGTGAAAGACAAAAATTCACAGAGCAGACAAAAACAGCTCCAGCAATGTTTTTTGATTGTGCCGAAACACCTAAAATAATATTATAAATAATATTACACTATAAAAGCTTTTTTTTTATCCTATCATTTTATCATGCTGGCACACAGATATGGTATAACATTTGGTATTTATTTGGATTTATTATTGATTTATCAGCCAGAAGGTGTAATGGTGCAATAATGAGTAGTGATGTTAGCAGTAGTGACGCACTCAGTTTCCAGTTTTTTTAGCTACACCTTTCAGTCTAAGGCAATAAAATTTAACAACATTACAAACTACAGCCTCAAAAACTGCTGCACAGTTGAATCAAGATCTCAATAAACCCTGAACATTATAATGTTCATAAAGATAGAATATATCACAGGACCATTTTATTAGACTGCACTAGTTATGCCTCTACACTGGCAATAGCCATTGCCCGAGGCATAATGTTTTGGGGTTTTCCGTCTGTACTTCCCTTGTTCATGAAGCGATATCTCAAGAACATCTTGTGGAAATTTCAAATTTGGTACAAACGTCCACTTGGACGCCATGATGAACTGATTAGATTTTGGGAGCCCATAAGTCAAAGGTCAAGGTCACTGTGACTTTATCTGTCTGATTCACGCAAGTGCCCTATCTCAGGAACACCTTGAGGGAATTTCTTCAAATTTGGCACAGGCACAAATGTCCGCTTGGACTCAGTGATGGACTGTTTACAATTTGGTGGTCAAAGGTCAGTGTCACTGTGACCTTGTGCCCATCTTGTTCTCTTGAATGTGGTATGTCAAGAACACTTTGAGGGAATTTCTTCAAATATGGCACTAATGTCCACTAAGACTAAGGAATGAACTGATTACATTTTGGTGGTTGAACATCAAAGGTCAAGGTCACTGTGACCTTGTTTGTCTCATTCTCCTGAATGTGATATGTCAAGAATGCCTTGTGGGAATTTATTTAAATTTGGCACAAACATTCACTAGGACTCAAGGATAAACTGACTAGATTAGACTTTGGTAATCAAGGGTCATGAAACATGTTTTTGGCCATAACTCAAGAATTCATATGATATTTAACAACATTTTCCACAAATGTCTATACTGAAGAAGTGATGACACTTTATGTATGTTATATATACATAATATATATATGTATGTTATATATATATATATATATATATACATATATATATATATATATTTGCAAATATATATATTTGCATATATATTTGCAAAAATGGGAGGGGTGTACTCACTTATGCCCAAAAGGGTTAAGGCAGTGCTAGATAATAATGGTTAGCACACAAAATATTGACACTTTAGGCACAATTTGGACATGTTCTCTGTTGGGTGTACTCACTTATGCTGCCAGCTGTTTAGATGTTGATGGCTGTGTTTTGAGTAATATTCAGAGGAAGGTAAATCTATACTACTATACAAGCTGTACACTGACTACTTTAAGTTATATCAGAGTGTCATTTCTATAGTGTTGTCCAATGAAAAGATATAATGAAATATTTGCAAAAATGGGAGGGGTGTACTCACTTACGTGAGATACTGTATATATATACACAGTACAGGCCAAAAGTTTGGACACACCTTCTCATTCAATGCGTTTTCTTTATTTTCATGACTATTTACATTGTAGATTCTCACTGAAGGCATCAAAACTATGAATGAACACATGTGGAGTTATGTACTTAACAAAAAAAGGTGAAATAACTGAAAACATGTTTTATATTCTAGTTTCTTCAAAATAGCCACCCTTTGCTCTGATTACTGCTTTGCACACTCTTGGCATTCTCTCTATGAGCTTCAAGAGGTAGTCACCTGAAATGGTTTTCCAACAGTCTTGAAGGAGTTCCCAGAGGTGTTTAGTACTTGTTGGCCCCTTTGCCTTCACTCTGCGGTCCAGCTCACCCCAAACCATCTTGATTGGGTTCAGGTCCGGTGACTGTGGAGGCCAGGTCATCTGCCGCAGCACTCCATCACTCTCCTTCTTGGTCAAATAGCCCTTACACAGCCTGGAGGTGTGTTTGGGGTCATTGTCCTGTTGAAAAATAAATGATGGTCCAACTAAACGCAAACCGGATGGGATGGCATGTCACGTCACTGCAGGATGCTGTGGTAGCCATGCTGGTTCAGTGTGCCTTCAATTTTGAATAAATCCCCAACAGTGTCACCAGCAAAACACCCCCACACCATCACACCTCCTCCTCCATGCTTCACAGTGGGAACCAGGCATGTGGAATCCATCCGTTCACCTTTTCTGCGTCTCACAAAGACACAGCGGTTGGAATCAAAGATCTCAAATTTGGACTCATCAGACCAAAGCACAGATTTCCACTGGTCTAATGTCCATTCCTTGTGTTTCTTGGCCCAAACAAATCTCTTCTGCTTGTTGCCTCTCCTTAGCAGTGGTTTCCTAGCAGCTATTTGACCATGAAGGCCTGATTGGCGCAGTCTCCTCTTAACAGTTGTTCTAGAGATGGGTCTGCTGCTAGAACTCTGTGTGGCATTCATCTGGTCTCTGATCTGAGCTGCTGTTAACTTGCGATTTCTGAGGCTGGTGACTCGAATGAACTTATCCTCAGAAGCAGAGGTGACTCTTGGTCTTCCTTTCCTGGGTCGGTCCTCATGTGTGCCAGTTTCTTTGTAGCGCTTGATGGTTTTTGCGACTCCACTTGGGGACACATTTAAAGTTTTTGCAATTTTGCGGACTGACTGACCTTCATTTCTTAAAGTAATGATGGCCACTCGTTTTTCTTTAGTTAGCTGATTGGTTCTTGCCATAATATGAATTTTAACAGTTGTCCAATAGGGCTGTCGGCTGTGTATTAACCTGACTTCTGCACAACACAACTGATGGTCCCAACCCCATTGATAAAGCAAGAAATTCCACTAATTAACCCTGATAAGGCACACCTGTGAAGTGGAAACCATTTCAGGTGACTACCTCTTGAAGCTCATCCAGAGAATGCCAAGAGTGTGCAAAGCAGTAATCAGAGCAAAGGGTGGCTATTTTGAAGAAACTAGAATATAAAACATGTTTTCAGTTATTTCACCTTTTTTGTTAAGTACATAACTCCACATGTGTTCATTCATAGTTTTGATGCCTTCAGTGAGAATCTACAATGTAAATAGTCATGAAAATAAAGAAAACGCATTGAATGAGAAGGTGTGTCCAAACTTTTGGCCTGTACTGTATATATATATATATATATATATATATATATATACATGTATATGACATGATTGTAAACTGAAACTACAACTTGACTGGTTCACAGAGTCATATAACCACGAGGCGGTAGTTCTAGTTTTAGCTAGGTGTATCTAAAAAAACTGGCAATTGTTAGTATATATTGAGTTAAATATACAGATTTTTTATAGCGTAGGTATTAAATAAACCTCTTTAAACATGACATAGAATTCAGCATACAGTAATGTGTTGCTCTGTTTTCCTTGAGTGTTCATTTAGGTGACAAAATGCATATTTAATTACAATGCGAAAATCATCCAACTACTTATTACCCACATGGATGAGTAATATCACAATCATCAATCATCAAGTCGTCATACAGCCAGAGGAGACGCTGTGCCTAGACTAGGAGACAGTGGGTCTTTACTCTTTACACTGCTTTACAGGTGCCAGGTTATGGTGCAATCATCACCTGTGATCACATACCTGAGGTAGAGCACTGAGGTTTTAAACAAGCTGAAATACAGGGTAGCTACCACATGAAGCCGTTTAAAGTTTGTTGTGCCATTATATGTCTTTAATAATATCATTAAATTCTCTTATCATGTACAACAGCTCCTCTCCATGTTTTTTTAGCTGAAATCACAAAAACTTTCATTCCAAGTTCTTGTCCGTTTGACACGAATGTGTGGCCATTACCTGTTTGGTTGTATCTATCTTCTGCTTTACAACAAGTGGCTTTTTCAGGGTTGAAAGCATTCCCTCCACAACATGACAGCCCTTCCCCTGGATGAAGTTGATTCTTGCAGGTTTTTCTGCGTTAACATCACAGTGAATAGACAATAAAGTTATTTTACACATGAACTGAGCCTCCTTTCATTCTATGCACATTTCATCCTTGTCCTTTGTAACACTGCCCTCTGATGGACTTTTGTGAAAACACTCTAGAACAAGTACACGCATTTCCACCCTTGCTCTTGCATTTAAAACATATTATGCAGGAAAAAGAGAAGACCCACGGTAAAAGATCACATTTTAAGGCTCCAGCAGGGAAGGATTTGGCTTTCAACAGGAACAAACAGTTGCTGGGCTCTTCAACAGGGTGTGCAACGAAGAGAACGCAGGGTGGGAGATCACAGTCAAAGTCAGAATCAGTGTACACATGCGAGGAATTCAACTCTGGTTTTCCATTGGATTGCTCTATTTGTTAAAATTTGCTATTGTTGTCATAACAAGTAGCTATTCTCAGAGAATTACGTGTAGAGCAGAGTAAAAACCAGACTGTCAATGCAACTGTCTTCATTCAACTGTTACTCATCCATTATTAATTCATCTTGGGACCATTATTGTGCTCAGTAAAAGTGATGATACACTAAAGAAAAGCTCATAGGGTCACGGGTAACCATAGGATGGATTGCTTAAGAATCATTGTTATACAAGAGTAAATGTCAATCCAGTTTTAAGCTTTTGATATAATAGCCCAAGCTGTCGGTGAGACTTTGACATGCGCCGTGTCACCGAAATCATTAGGGAATTGTTCTATGGGAATTTGACCAGTCGTTGGCATCAGACCATGGTTTCATCTCCAAAATAGCGTATCAGTGACTACAGCATAGCCAAATTATCCCTCCCTCTATCCTTCTGTCATGACACACATTTGTACATCTGTACTTGTGGGGAAGTTCAGACACATGCCCTTAAAAAGATAGCTGAGATCATATGAAGTGGGGTTGTATAGGGTACTTATCCATAGTCAGCGTTTCACCTACAGAAGATGTCTGCAGGCAGTGGTGTAGTGGAGGGTATACTCAGGTATACGAGGTATACCCACTTCTTTTTCTATCCAGTTACAGTATACCCACCTATCAGCTAAAAAGCCATTGTAATACATAGGAGAATATGCCCACTTCCTCATCGGTAACCTACCTATCTACCTAGTAGTACACCCACCTCATCAATTACCACTACACCACTGTCTGCAGGCACACTCCCAGTTTGGAGAAGTGGGGGGTGTGCAGAGCCGACGCAACGTACTGCTGTGGATGGAGGAAAGCAGCTAAACATTTTAGCCACCTCAAAATGCTCTAACCCAAAAAAGTCTACAACAGTTTATGTTGTGTATTTACACCACTTTACCTTCCCATCAGACAGCCCTCTCAGATGAGGAAGCCATTAACGGCTTCAGCTCCCCATCTATGCTTTGGACAAAGCCTAAAGACTCCCTTGACAAAAAAAAAATTAAATAAAAAATTGGGTCACTGAACGCGATTGCTGCTGTTCTCCCACTACCTTGACCAGTTACTTAGTTTGTGATATTGTGTGACTTTGGTGAATCAAAACGAACCACTTTAAATGCCAAATTCACACAGTAACCCTGATGGTAGACCAGCAGCTCCTGTTCAGTAAAGTTAAATCCCTGTTTTTCTTACTGGAATTTGGCACTGAAGAGAGCAATATAACATTTTCAGTTACCCATCAGAAATTGCTGTCTGACAGTATAGCAAAGAAAATCATCTGAATGTAGTGTACACTTAAACTGATAATTTTTTCAGGTGGCTAAAATTCAGCGATCATACAAAACATTAAAACCACTGACAGGTGAAGTGAACAACATTGACCATCTTGTTACAATGCAATGTTCTGCTGGGAAACCATGGGTTCTGGCATTCATGTGGATGCCACCTGACATGCTCTGACATTTAACGGCGATGCAGCTGGGCGTGCACGACGATGGAGACATTTTAAACGGGCAATGCTTGCTTGTTTTCGGCACCCCCGAGGCATGGATACTAATGACGTCAGATTCTGGGTGAGTCTTTGATCTCTACTGATTGGTTAGGGAAAAATCAAATTCTCTCCCCCTTGTAAATCGCCTTCAATGGAGGTGATGTCAGACTGAAGGTTCTGGGAGCTTCAGTCTGACACTCAGGCTATTGACAGGTCAGAGCCAAGTCCAGTCCAAGGAGCAACCACCATGGATCGGGGGTACCACTGGGGTACCAGCACATCCCTCAGATGTTCGCTGAGATTGGGATCTGAGGTATTTGGAGGCAAGGTCATCACCTTGCGCTCTTTGTCCCATTCCTGGGGTCATTCCTGAGCAGTTTTTGTGAAGTCGCATGGTGCAATGTCCCGGTGGGGGGCCACTGCCATTGACCAGTGACGTTGCCATGAGGGGGGGCCCTTGGTCTGCAACAGTGTTTGGGTGGGTGAGCACATCATGTAGCATCCACATGAATGCCAGGATGCAAGGTTTCAAAGCAGAACATTGCACTGTACCAAGATGATCAATGTTACTTCACCAGTGGTTTTAATGTTTTGGCTGATCAGTGAATGTTTTGTTATTTACCCCTCCACAGCAGTAAGCTACATTGCTTAGCTTCCCTGCCTGCTTCTCTAAACTGGGGTGTGCCAATTGACTAACCTGGTAAGACTTTCCTGGTGACATGAGCTCAACATTCTGTTTCGCTCTCTCTGTCAGTCTGCATTCATGCAACACTAAACACTTTCAGTGGGTGGGAGTAGTCACCTTGACAGACAAACTCCTTCAGCCCACATGTAACGAAATACCAGGGAACATCGTATTCATTGCCATCGGAGCCATTTGATAAATCAAGCTTTTGCAAAATCCAATCAGAGAAATGGGGAAAACGACTCTTCCCGCAAGAAACTCTGCGTGTGCATACTCTGGTTCTTGTTTAATTGTCGTTATTGGCTCTATTTCTGCATATTTATTGCTGTGTTTACTTTGCTAACATTAAAGTTGGCGCTTGTGGCTTTGGGAGGTGCCATTCCTGTTGTGCAAGCGTTTACGTGATCGACCACAGTGCAGTCCCAGACTGCCTGCTTACATTGTCAGCTACAGTACGGATCCTTGATTCATTTATTTGGACTTTGATTCCTGGAAGTGTTTGGGGCGGCATCGAGTCCAGACTGATACAGAGAGTGGAAAAGAATTTGGAACTCACGTCATCAGGATGGTCTTATCAGGCCACTGACTGACATCTACTGTAGGTAATACACTGACTGTGTGTAAGCAGCTACCTCATACACATCACCTCAAAAAATCCAAAACGATCCCTTTAACCTCTGAAAGACCAGCCAAAATGTCTTCAACTTTGCTAAAATGCTTTCACTCCCAAAGCACTGGAAATGCATAATGGTCCTCACAAACACACACACACACACACACACACACACACACACAGTGAGAAACTCACTCGTTGCTGTTGCTCTTCAAGGCTGCTGGAGCTCCCTCTGTCCACAAACACAAAGGTTAGAAGTGCTGGGTCAGTGGACAAATTCCAGACTAAATGTGTAATTGTTTGGAGATGAGCAATACATTCTGTTGAAAATAAGCTCTTTCGTCCTGTGTGAAATGCAATAGCACCCTTCTTGACACTATGATCAATATATAATGTAATAATATTCACATATGCACATAGAATTTAAAAAAAATATATGTAATTTTACTTTTACTTAAATATGTATGTGTCATGTTTTGTAACTGTTCATTTCAAGTCACACCCATGAGAATGAGAACAAAAGTCACATGGGAAAGCTCCGACGAACTGTGAGAATGTTAGCAGACTCAGCAGGGACGTTTGCTCAGAGATACTATAGATACTCATTCCATCCCAACATATTGGCATCTAAGATAAGAGACATGCATACACAGACTGCACCTTGTCAGCTTTCCCTTGCTCAAAAACCTGCCCAATTCTCCAGGGTCAAATCAGAGGCACACGCTTATCCACCTCCTCAGTTTACACCCTCTGGCTTCACTGTCAATGATTACTCATCACAACATGCTGCGAAATGCTGCGTGACTACAATGCAGTCTGTGCCGTCTTTTTTTTCCGACTCCAGCCCACATGGAAAAGTAGACACATCTCACGTTTAATGGCATGCAACAGAAAAATGTCATTAAAATTTACACGCACTTTTCATGAGCTTGAGGCGTGCTGGGACAATAGAATTTTAATTAATTAATTTTAATGCTTTATGATTTGATGTCAGTGATTATCTCCTCTCAAACCACAAGACTATAGATCATTACAGCCCGCAGGATAATCGCGCCACTTCTGCGACACAGTTGCGCACATCCAAAAACCGTTTAAGGCAGGTGCTGGACCAGTTAAACATGCTGAAAGGTCCGCACACTGCAGCTCCCTAACATTCATTTTGAGCACATTCACACTAGGGCTGTCAGACCGAACTTCGCTATTCGAAAACAATTCGAATTATTGTAAAAGTAAGCATATTCAAAGTTGGAAACTAAGGTTCGAATATTTTGAAAAAAAAAAACGGCGCTCTATCGTGCATTAAGAGATGTTTTTTTGGGGAAATACATGACTGTCAGAGAAGCCCCGTTTACAAACAGACCTACAATCCATCTCTCCTCTCCTTTCCTCTCATCTCTCTCTTCTCAGCGGAGGGTGCCCTGTCAGCCCTGCGCTGACAGTGACAGGGCGCATCTCTTTGATCCGAAGTGACACAGCCCGTTTGCTCATGCTTCGGGGTAGTTCAATAGAGTAATTGCAAATAAATATTGTTTTAATGTGTAACTATTGAAATGTTGTAGCCTATACCAAGGAAAGATTCGAATATTATTCGAATTTTTAACATAAAAAACATTAAAAATTCGAATCTGATTTTGGGGGAAGATTGACAGCCCTACTTCACACGTCTGGAGGACACTGAAGAAGAACACACACTCAAAACGCCCCTTGTGGATTAACTGCACTTAAAGAAGCATTTGTTCCAGATTTATTGCCACTTGGGCAACGCGCCTCACACATGCACATACCTGTCTCCCACCCCCAACCCCTTGACTCTCATTCTCACACGCTCACTGACACTTTAATTTAAAATACCATCCCAGCTTGGACGTGGAAAAAACCCTGAACACATACATGACACTGAGAGAAGAATAAATGATCTCTGGGATGGCTCACTGAACATGCTGTGTAATTAATCAGGTCTACTTACCACAGCCAATAGAAAAGCCGCAAATCAGCCAAACTGGAAAAATGCAACCAGATGCATGAGTATATTGGAAACAAACTGTCACTGCCATAAATCCAAAATGTACTTGTGAAAAAGATGCGCCCATAGCCTACCCAGTCCGAGAGCCCAGCAGATCATCTTGCTGCTGACCTGCTGTACCGCAGAATGAGATGCGCTATGATGCTGAGACAGGCCTGCTTTAAAACACTGCCAATGGGCCACTCCTACCACGCAATACACACCTAAAAATATGTCACCCATAAAGCTTCTGAGTTAAGACGTTCTCTATCGACAGCGCTCACCAGTGTAGATGTGACTCATGATTGAAACTTCCTCTTTTTTATCAAAGGTACGAAAATGAGGTGTTGCATCAGGTGGAATAGGCTAAACTTCACATGACGCCACTCTGTATGCACATAGTTTACTGATGGACAAAGGGACAGCTGGTGAAAAATTACACGAGTGATTCAGGCTGTTTGCTTACAGTGCGTAAGCTTATTTTTCCCAATTTATATTGACGCCCAAATTGTGGAATGTTGCATGTGCAGGCATGTGTCTGGTGAAGCTGGGGGGGTCCTCCGGGAAGATGATCTCGAAGCTGATGTAAGGAGGTGGACACCACTTCGTGAAGGCGTAGGTTTTTAGATGGAGGGGAGTCCCTGGTGAATTTTTATGCATGAATTTGTGCCTTGTCTGCATCAATTTATGGTGTAAATGCCGTTAATTATGCTAAAACAAAAGTCCTGTACCTTTATGGTTTTATTGGGGTTNGGGGGGGGGGGAGGGGGAGGGGGGGGGGGGGGGGGGGGGGGGGGGGGGGGTGGGGGGGGGCGGGGGGGGGGGGGGTATAAGGATGTAAGTTGTGGTAGGGATCAAAGCCCACAAGACAACACTCATGGTCCAGCTGTCAGCTGTGTGAGAGACTCCGCATTTGTCTTTCCTTAACTGGCCACAGTGACCAAAAGATGGTCAGAACAGACTAAAACGTGTTTGTTTTTTCACTGACTAATCTCATATTTCACCAGGCCTGTTGTTATTTCGGAGCCTGAGAACTCAGATTCAGATTTCTCAGTTGAATGTTAATATTGTAAACCCCAGAGAAATAAGGTCGAAGTGTAACCGTTCAAGTAGCCTATCTTCAAATAGTCTAGTTGGTGGGAAAGGGATGGATAAGACAGCCCAGGCTGGACTCAAGCCCGGCCGCTGCGGCAACACCCCCGTATATGGGGCGCCCGCTCCATCCACCAAGCCATCGACGCCCCACTATCACCATTTTTAAACGTCTTTTAAACTGCAAAATGCTCACTGTAATACAAAACTGTAACAGTGGCTCTATCATCAGCATCTAAGGTAGCTACACATGTCATGTTGACACATTTATTTAAAGATAAAGATGACCACGTCACATATTGCAATACAGTTTGTAAGCGATAATTTAATGGACAATTCAACACAGTGATGCAGTGGTTAGCGTTGTTGCCTCACAGCAGGAGGGTTCCTGGTTTTGAACCCAAGGTGGAGGAGCCATTATGTGCAGAAGTGTATGTTCTCACTGTGTCAGCGTGGGTTTTTTTCCAGGTACTCCAGCTTCCTCTGACAGCAAAGACGTGCAGGTTAACTGGTGAATGAATTGGCCGAAGGTGTGAATGTGAGCATGAATGGTTGTCTGTCTCTATGTGTCAGAGCTGTGATAGCCTTCTTGACTTTGACAACAGACAATATTACTGATGTATTAAATAACGTTGCGGAGCACTTTTTTTATTCCGACGCCACACAGTCACATCTACAGTACACGCATGAACATGAACACATGCTTGCTCAGATTACCACTCTAACATTCACACACAACAGGCCAAGTCTATTTACACATAAACGCACAGATGAAACTATAGCAAACAACAAAGTACATCCAGTCCACAACCACAACCAAAACTCATCTTGCTGCCTTGAATCTAAATCAACATCATATTCATTATCATCACAAGTCAGCACTCATATCAGACTGATGTGCAGAGCCGCACACACACACACACACACACACACACACACAACAACAAAACAAGCGCAGCTGTGCAGTTACTGAAAAGTAACCGGAACGCTGAATTTCTGACCATTACCGCCCGCAACCGCAATGTGTATGTCCACTCCTGCCCACTCCCGCAAAACTCTGAGAATTTATGCCCGCACAATAATAGAGATGCATTGATTTTGTGTCTTCTCCCATCCCGCAGGAAAAAACACGTCATTTTATAGGCTATTACTGTAATAAATACAGTCAGGTCCATAATTATTTGGACAATGATACAGTTGTCATCATTTTGGCTCTGTACACCACCACAATGGGTTTTAAATGAAACAATGAATACCTGCTTAAAGTGCAGACTCTCAGCTTTCATTTAAGGCTTTTTTCAAAAATGTAGTATGAACCGTGTAGGAATTACAACCATTTCTTCACACAGTCCCCCGACTTTAAGGGCTCATAAGTATTTGGACAAACTAACATAATCATCAATTAAACAGTCAGTTTTAATACTTGGTTGCAAATCCTTTACAGTCAATGACTGCCTGAAGTGTTGGACACATAGGCATCATCAGATGCTGGGTTTCTTCCCTGGTGATGCTCTGCCAGCCCTTTACTGCAGCCGTCTGCACTTCCTGCTTGTGTTTTGGGTGTTTTGCCCTCAGTTTTGGCTTCAGCAAGAGAAACGCATGCTCAGTTGGATTCAGGTCAGATGATATGACTTGGCCATTGCAGAACATTCCACTTCTTTGCCTTAAAAATGTCTTTGGTTGCTTTTGCAGTATGCTTCAGGTCAATGTCCATCTGCACTGTGAAGCATCGTCCAATGAGTTTTGAAGCATTTGGTTGAATCTGAGCAGATAATGGTGCCCCAAACACTTCAGCTTTCATCCTGCTGCTCTTGTCAGCAGTCACATCATCAATAAATACAAGAGAACCAGTTCCACTGGCAGCCATACATGGCCATGACATAACAGTACCTCCACCATGCTTCACTGATGAGGTGGTGTGCTTTGGATCATGAGCAGTTCCTTCCCTTCTTCCTTCTCTTGTCTTCCCATCATTCTGGTAGTTGATCTTTGTTTTATCTGTCCATAGTATGCTGTTCCACAACTGTACAGGCTTTTTAGATGGTTTTTGACAAACTCTAATCTGGCCTTCCATTTTTAAGGCTAACCAATGGTTTGCATCTTGTGATAAACCCTCTGTATTTATTCTAGTGAAGTCTTGTCTTGCTTACAAGAGCAGCAGGATGAAAGCTGAAGTGTTTGGGGCACCATTATCTGCTCAGATTCAACCAAATGCTTCAAAACTCATTGGACGATGCTTCACAGTGCAGATGGACATTGACCTGAAGCATACTGCAAAAGCAACCAAAGACATTTTTAAGGCAAAGAAGTGGAATGTTCTGCAATGGCCAAGTCATATCATCTGACCTGAATCCAACTGAGCATGCGTTTCTCTTGCTGAAGCCAAAACTGAGGGCAAAACACCCAAAACACAAGCAGGAAGTGCAGACGGCTGCAGTAAAGGGCTGGCAGAGCATCACCAGGGAAGAAACCCAGCATCTGATGATGCCTATGTGTCCAACACTTCAGGCAGTCATTGACTGTAAAGGATTTGCAACCAAGTATTAAAACTGACTGTTTAATTGATGATTATGTTAGTTTGTCCAAATACTTATGAGCCCTTAAAGTCGGGGGACTGTGTGAAGAAATGGTTGTAATTCCTACACGGTTCATACTACATTTTTGAAAAAAGCCTTAAATGAAAGCTGAGAGTCTGCACTTTAAGCAGGTATTCATTGTTTCATTTAAAACCCATTGTGGTGGTGTACAGAGCCAAAATGATGACAACTGTATCATTGTCCAAATAATTATGGACCTGACTGTAGACTCATGGGGTTGTTTGTTTCATTTCCCTGGCCTGCATGTCTTTTGACACACTGGTCAGGAATAGCGCTCCTATTTCGTTGTTTTCATTTAGTTTTTAATGAAATAAAGGCTGTTTCATATTCTATTCTCCTCCTCTGTATTTTATTTATTTTTCTACCTTTATATAATCACGCAGTGATTGAGGTTAAGGCAAGCCCAGCGCCAGGATGAAGTTACTGAGGAGGCGGTTAAAAATTACGAGGGGGCAAATCTTTATTATACAACATAGGTTCACACAGTGAGTTATAAAGAGCGCGCAGACGTGCGAATAGTCGCTCGTAATGACAGCTCGTCGCCGGTGAAACACAATAAACTGCACGTCTTCTTTTATGTTTGTCTCATGACAGATGGAGCTGACAGACAGACAGACAGACAGACAGACAGACAGGTGGAGCAAGCGGTAAATTGGTATGAAAGCTGGTTCAGGGCATATTTGTCCATTTATGAATAAATATGGAGTGGAAACGCTCATGCATGTGCACCAAGTTCCTGTGTTGACATCCTGCCGCTAGGCTACATCTTCTTCTTCTTCTTTTTCTTCTTCTTCTACTGTTTAATGGGGACCCGCGGCGGGACCCAATCCCAATGCAGCCCTCTAAGTCAGAGTACAAAAGTTACCCGGGCCATAGCCCCCCTGGCCCCCCCGGTTCCGCGGTCTATATTCACACTAATCAGTATTGTCTCTCTTTTAACCTGCAACTGGACAAATTATCAAAGCAAGTAAACAAATTTGTAATCGTGACACAATGACAAACCGCATGTTAGGTGTTTGAAAGAGGGTGAAAACAGGTCATAGACGTTCAGCCTGAATATCATCCTGCTGCTGCCTCATGACCAGGGTCCCACGGTTGGCCTGGACCAACCCCTGCTGGGCAAGAGGCAAAGTCTCCAGTAACAGATATGATGGAGCTCCCTCCTGTGAGCCTTAATTCACAGTTTAGAACAATTCATCATCTTTTATATGCTCAAATTGACCCTACATGGAGATTGAGCTGACTGTAAATGACATGTACCGGATATGATGCTTTTTAAAAAAAAAAAAAAATTACAGAGAGGTACCTGCCAATTTTTGAATATCATAGTGTCGGTATTTCAACACAGACGTCAGTCGGGTTTGGTCTTGTCTTTGCGCTACTTCAAGTCTCACTGGTGGAGCTGAAATGATGAAATCAGGAAGGAAAAAAAACAACG